ATACACAATTGAGTTATGGATGCACGCGGGAAGTGGCTGAGCACAAGAGAAAAGTAAGAGTCGCACAAGGCGATGGTCGAGAGTGACTCTAGCTTCTTGTGGTGTGGTGTGGTGTTTACCATTTGTTAACTAATGAACATCTATTTAACAGATTTCGACCAGTCCACCTCTGAAGCTCAGTTTCCAAGAACTCAGCATTACTAACTTCATCAGTGATAAGTTACTTTAAGATGTCTCTTTTTTAAATATTATTAAAAATCATACAAATAGCCGTCCGTTATTTTACTTCGGCTCGTAATCAGTTCTTGTGCCACCAGATATTCAAGGGTTGTATAATCTACCCCTAGAAATCTTTATCGCTCTCCCTAAAATGTGTAGTATATTGCATGCGCTTATTTAGTTGGTAAAGAAAAACACACTTTACTTACAACTGCTCAAGCTTTACTGACTGAGTCAATAGAGTATGGTGCAACTCCTTGATTTTGTTATTGTCCAGGGATCTAGAAGAGTTAGAGAGTATGCAAAACAGTTGCATGAGGAAGTGTAATAAATCTGTTCACGTTTGTCTTTGCGGCTTAGTTAAAAGGCAAAATTGGAAAGAGAAACCAGGAGAGAATGGAGCGAGCAAAGATCCCTAAACATGCTTCAAATAGGAGTTACTACTCTTATCTGCTCGGGACAGTCAATCTGTAAACCATATCTGTTATCATCCTCTCCTACTCCCTTTAAGATTGACGACACTCGGCCGTAATTTAAATATATTTTCGCTAATTAATGAAAACGAATCTCAGCAAATGGTGGGTAAATGTTAGCAAAACCGATATAATCTTTAGAAATAGAATTCATTGATTATTTAATTTAAAACTTACAGATAGGTCAACTCGGTGTTGCTATTGAAGACTCCCTTCGGTAGTTCCTCTATCTGATTTTTGTCTAGATATCTACGAGTATGTACAAGTCTGTGAGTTGAACGCCGGTCTTACGTAGCTGTTGTTGTTCCTTTTTAGTGGTTGTGAATTTAAGGATTTATTCATGTAATATAAGCGTCAACTAACGATGTTTGACTGGTTGAGCCAACTACATTTCAATGAATAATCACAAAAGGCAATTCATTGTTCATAACCAACCATGGGTGTCGTTTCTTCTCTCGTTGTAGTTTAGTATTTTTTACTTGCGTTGCCCTGGAAAAATCCTGGTACACTCGATTTATTTTGAAATTGGTATTTTTGATATTGAAAAACTAGTCTCAAGCCAGACTTAACCTTAAACAAAACGATAGAGACAGCAAATGACGTTGTAGGGGCTGGAGATTAGAAACTCGGCAATCGCCGATGAATTCATCAATTCCTTTAATTATTTGAAAGAGACCTAACTTCACCACAGGTGGCCCAAAGTCTGTCACAGGCTCTTTCACAGTGGATTATTAAAGATTTTGTGTAGTGTTTTAGTTGGACTTGCTTTTGAGCTCCGTAAATGTAAATTTGTGCGAAATAATCAAAGAAATAAAATCTTACCTTCACAGAGAGTAGTGTATGTTGTTCTCCTCGCGATTTGACTGCGGAGGCCGTTTCATTTTAGCTTCACGCCCTAATCATCACCGAGTCACCGTGCACAAGATACGGGAAGGTAGGAAACTTCTGTTGACACATGCTCGCCAAAATCGCTCGAAAACAACACTTAAATACTTTTCCTCGAATCAAAACTTGGCAGCACGAAAGCCAAATAGTTGCCCTTTACGTTCACCGAAAAAAATCCCAGAAAAGTTGGTTTGTCGAGCAATCAATCCAGCGAGAATTTCAAATTAACGACCGTACTGAATTCTTCTAATGCGTGGAAGGAACATCTTGTGCAGCTGAGAGACCGTTCATGCGCGGTCAACCTGGACCCTAGTCAAATCTCTCTCAGCGGGTCCTCCCCGTAGTCTTCTAACACCAACCCTTCACACATACTAGGGTACCCGGTATTTCTATTGTTATCAAGTATAACAAGAAAACTGTGAAGTTAAGATGGACAGTATCAACGATCTAGTCCAGTCGATGAGTCTACCCGGGGTACCTTAGTATGTGTGAAGGTTGGTGTTAGAAGACTATGGGGAGGACCCGTTGAGAGAGATTAAACAACAAATTTACATTTACGGAGCTCAAAAGCAAGTCCAACTAAACACAAACCCTTTAATAATCCACCGTAAAAGAGCCTGTGACAGAGCTTGGGCCACCTGTGATTTCACATTATGAAACATTATACGTACGTTACAGAATTTTGACTACAAGTGCATTGCTGGTATGCGGTATGCGGTTTTGCCGATTCTCTGAAACTATTTAAAAGGCCTTTTCAAGTAAAGTTAATGAATAACCAGATTCTTTGCTCATGGTGGATGAGTGTTGACATCATAGTTCCGCATTCTCGTCAAGGATCAACTGGTTATTGGTTAAGACTTTTAACAGCGATAAATGTTCCAAGGTTCTTCACTTACAGCTCCTGTAGCTTGACTAAAAGATTAAATAAATCACCAGGCAAGTTCTTGATTTCGTTATTTTTTAACAACCTATAGAAGTTTAGAAAACGTTTCTTGAGGGTGACAAGATAAAACATGAAGAACTGTTACTCAAAGTTTTCAAAATTTGATATTCTAGGAAAATAGAGAGAAAACCACTAACAAATATCTGTTTTGTTTAAAGCAAGGTTCTTTGCAAACAACGACTAAAACAAGGTAATTTTCCTTTTATCGAATGCACGGTAAGAGTTTCAAAGCTGACGTCTCGAGCGTTAGCCCTTCGTCAGAGCAATGAAGGAATTGTGGGTTGTCTTTGTGCCTACACGCAAAAATGGAGTTACGCTATTGGTGGGAACATGGTAACAAGAAAAAAAAAGGATAAATTAGTACAATGAAAAGCGTTCGTTGATGCCTTGGGGATTAACAGTGACGATTTGAAAGATAAACTCTGTTCAGAGTTTTTCAGCTTTTCGAACTACATAAATGTAAGGAAAGGCCGCAGACTGCGATATGCCGCTTAGAATGATAAGTCAGATTAAATTGTCTAGCGACTGGTTTTTAATGCATCCTTGTTATTCCTCTCTACTGTCACGGAGGTGTTCTCGGAATCGGTCACCTGTCCGTCTTCTCCTGTTTCAGCAATGAATATCTTTTTGCAATAAGTGAAAGTTATGCAATAGATGACTTTGGCGGAGGTGCACGTGAAGTGATTAGTAATCTTAATTGATCGTGTGGGTCCCGATATTTTCTAACTTTATGAATGAAAGGACAAGATTTGCATCGTGAGCGAGTGCATTTGAAACTTGTGGGCTGATCATTAGTTTGTACTGAACTTCTGACCAAAAAGTTGCCTATGTTTTTTAAGCCTTTGAATGAAATAAGTGGAGGTTGCGAAAAGATAGTACCAGTCTCTGAATCGTTTTGAAGTAATTTAAAGTTTTTATGAATAATGGATTTAACTGCGTGGTTGTGAATGTGAAATGTGAGAGTGAATAGAATGCGGTGAGTATTTTCATTCTG